AAAGTTCAGCTGTTTGTGTTTTCTTCCTTATAGAAATTGCATCTGAATGGCCATGGTAAATTATTCCAATATGTACTCATCTTAGCTTATTTTAGTCCCTCTTTCAAAAACAAGTCAGAATAAGGTGAATTTTTCAGGTGTTTGCAAAAAGCACAAATTATTATCCTTTTCAGTCAACTGTAAATCACATTCAAGTTTAAATAATTGCTTGAAATGCCTTACATTGCAGCCTGGTAAGATACTGACTGTTCTCAGGGTCAGTTAAATTCTCTAGAATGGCCAAGTCCCCAGAAATCATACTCTGTGTACAGGATTGGGACCAAAAATTTGTTTTGTCTCCCCATATAAAAGTGAGGGGGGCTAGACATACCAATGCATGCCTATTTCTTCAAGATTCAGTCTGCATGATGGGGAGATACTGGAAACCCAGAATAAGCGTTAGCATGTTGTTTTCAAGAGAGAAACAGGCAGAATCTCTGCTGAGGTATTTGGAAAAGGTGCTTTGTTCAGACTGAAATATAAAGTAGTTGCAGGTGTCTCAATTAGGCAAGAATTGTCTGGACATTTGGAATCTAAGGGGAAAATATTAATCCATTAATCTGGTTGAAACACTGATATTTCCTTTGAACAGAGGTGCAGATATTGTCACATTTAGTTTAGAATCAGAACAGTCTGAGGTCTTGTGGAACTGCTGATTTTGCAAGATAAGGGGTAAGGCAGATTAGCTCCATAGGGAGCAAGAGTGAGCTTTGTAACTGTAGCATATAAAAAGAAAAGTGAAGTTTAGGTATGGTAAAGACATTTTCATTTGAAAGCTAGCCATAGTTCAATAAAAGACTCATGCTGAACCTGATATTTTGCCATCTATGTGTCACTCCATTAAAGTTTATGTGAGCATGAAGGCTAAACCTGTCTAAAATGATTTATTAGATGGAAGTCAAGAGCACTGAAGAAGATTAGAAAGACCAGAATTCATGAGAATAGTTAAACATAATACTATTGAATATGGCTGTGTCTTCCAGGAATGGTACAGTGCTAATCTCAGGAAACTCTAACATGCAGGAGCAGAAATACAATGCTAGTTTATTCTTGCTGTTGCTTACACCTGATGCTGACATTAAGTATGTTATTAAAAAGTGAAACAAGGCTTAGACCAAGCCCTGGTCTGGCGAGATATACAGAAGAGTGATGTATGAATTGGTCATAGTTATTGTGTAAGGAAGAGAACATGCGTCAAAGACCAAGGGCACTTTCTCCTTTCTTTTCACTGCTTTCTTAAAGGTAGGGTTCTAGAGTGGGGGTTGTAGGATGTTTAATACAGCTGCTATGTTCTACTAAATGTTATAATGTGTTAAATGCAAGTTTTCCATCTTTTTGTTGTCTTACTTGAAAGCTAATTCAAGAATCCAGAGTAAAGAACTGCATGTCATTTCAGAGTCCTGTTGTCACGGTTATCCAAACTGCAAGGCAGTCAAAGCTTATTAAACTCTGATATGATTTGGGTTTCCTTTCTAAACAGACTAGTTGTGCAGCAGCCCCAGTCTCCTGATGTAGACGTAGCTTATAATATCTCCTCACTATAACTGCTGTAACAGCAACACTACTAGAAGTAGGCCATTCTGTAAGTGCTATAGCCTTAGTGTGATTAAATGAAGTGAGGTAGAGATGAAGAAACTTGTGAGGAGAAATGTATTTATCCTTTCCCAAAAGACATTTGTGTGTTTTCAGTATTCTAAGTTAAGGGAGACAGTAAACAGGGTATCTGTAAAAATCTCGTTGAAAGACTATAAAGCATGCATCTTCTCTGAAATGCGATACAAGATCCCTAAGGATAAAGTGCCAGCTTCATTTTCATGAATGGAACAGATGCTAAATTTTTGCAGTATCCAGAAGTCAGTGATACTCTTGATAACCAAAGACATAAGCTCCCTACTTTGATTAGACCATCCCATCTTGCAGCTGCTTCAAATTCATTTGTACAGAAAAGGAAACTGAAGTGAATAGTTGAATGACCCTTTTCCCTTTTATAAAAGAAGACAGCGTCGCCACTGTGAAAGGTCACTGAAGCACAATAGATACTTCCTGTAGGAGACCTGGGGCTTCTGTGGCATGCAGCATGTGTGTGTCTAGTGACCAAAATTCTCAAATAGAAGTAATTCTTTTCTGAGAATGATCAATTACTGGTTGTCTTGTGTGCCATTTTAATTTGGATAGTAATCTCTACTGCAAACAATAAAACTGAAAATGTAGCCACAAAAATGTTTCTCATATGTCTAGAATTATGCACTACTCCTCAGCATCTTTTGGAAACAGGTGATTGCCATACCCTGAAGACAGTGCTGGGAGACTTGGAACTGACAAGGAAAAGGCAGCTCACTGTTATAAAGGGTATCTTGGCTGCTGTCAGTATTGCTTCAGCTGGGACTTTCCGGAGCCTGCTTCTATAAATATATATCAATTCAATTGTGTAATTGCCATTACCAATGTGAATTCAATTTGTCTGTATTTTTATTCTGTAGAATTAGGTCTTACAATCTTGAACTGCTATAGATTCTGTTATAGATATCTCCAGATCTTGAGTTGCAGAAATTAAGTCATCAGAAGCAGATGGGGTATGAAATAAAGTGAAAAATGGAAGTGATTTTCAGGAAACTTGTTTTTAATCCAATATTTTTTTGTGTCAAATAATTGCCTTTGATCACCTGATCCACTAAAATTAAATCAGAGTTCTGACGCCCAAGAACTTCTCAGTCACACAATTTGCACTTGTTAAAACGTATCAGGGTGTCATAACTGAAAAGAGACTGCTATTTGGGATGGGAAAATCATTGCATACTGCCCGGCCATGTATTTCATCCCCTGAAATGCAAGAATCACTGCAAAAACTGGATAGGGTTCCTAACCTTGCTGAATTATCTTCTCAACAAGAGGATCAGATTGGAAAGATGCGGTCCAGAATGATTATCTGGTGGTCGCTCTGGGCTAGACAGACACGAATGCCTTATTTTTGGTGAGCAGTGTTTGGAATCCCAATATCAAAATAGTTAAAACACAGGCTAGCTTTCAACTCATCTAATGCAAAATGTTGTGTAAAGTACCTTGGGCCACAGTGTCACCTTAAATACTTACAGTTATTAATAGTTGTTAGAATCCCTAGTAGCTTGTGTAAGATTCCTCTTCCATTTCCTTTAATTCATGTAGAATTGTTGTTGCATTCTCTGTTGACAGCTTTGCATGTGTGCTTCACTGGCAGGGACAGGACAGGAAATAATATTCCTGCACTTAACCGTGCATACAGGAATAGCTGAATGGCATTTCTTCAAATGTGTGCACAAAGGGAAGATCTGTGAGAGAAAAAAAACGGCATTTTATTGCATGGATTGTGCTACAGGAAAACCTCCTGTGAAAGATTTTCACTGATACAAACCAACCAAAACAGGTGGAACAGAAGGGAAGTGTAAGGCCCAGGCTCTTCGTTATGTATTAGGTGTTTAAAGTAAGCAGACTCCAGAGGACTCCAGAGGTTGCAGTGCATCAGCTCTGCAGATGTCTTGTGGACTGGGTAAAGAAAGGAGTCTTCCCCACTGCATTTCTTATCACTGCCTTGGCAGGCTGCTTGGATGCTTCAGGATTTGCCTCTGAGAGTAAGCTCTTCTGCAGACAAAAAAATACTTGAAACAATAGAGAATTCTGCCCAACAGTTCTGCACAAGGCTTATTTCTGTTCCAATTGATTTGTGTGGCAGCCTGTCTTAGGTTTGCAAATACAAATCCAGATTTGTATTCAGTACAGTTAATCTCAATTTCTTATTTTCAGATGGATTTAACAGGGTTTATAACCATCTTCAGATCTGTGCAGGTTCATGTCCTTAGTTACTTCTCCATATTGATACTTACATTGTTTCAAATATAATAAATAGCTGAGTAAACAACCCTGAAAAATATATGCCTGTATATATGTATAGATATGTTCAAGATTCTATTTATTAGTCTGGCCATTGGTCAGTTGCTTAAGTACAACTGCTGTCTTAAATAAAGATTAATCTCTCATGGTCACTAGCTTTAGGGAAAATTTATCCTTCAAGAGCTTAGATCGGCCCTATGGTTCTTTGGATCATCATATTCACTGGATTGACTACTGATTTTAATAGGTCTGATAGTAAAGGAAGATTCTTAGAATCAGGGTATTAAATAGGCTTACTTGAGCAGCATATTCTGTACACTTAAAAAAATAATTGCACTTCAGACTGAGAGCGTGAATTCAGATTCAGCCCCCTATAGTATTTATGCAAGTTTAAAGTAATGTCTTCTATTGGCAGCAATTAACAACTTTTCCCTCTCCCACAGCCTCATCCATAATAGAAGCAAGATTTCCAAGTTTTGGATTTGATTCTTTAGTGCCCTAAGGATTTTCATAGGTTTAGGCTTTAGTGCTGTAATAGCACTCAGTAGATGGTGTGATGCCATGTGAAACAGTGTTAGACTACACTGCGTGACGCATTGCAAACACATTAGAATGCTTTTGCTTTCCAATCATCCTTAGACAGGGTAAGAAAATAATGTCTCCTGTCTCCTTTTCAGAGCCTATACAAGAAAGCTGCTTACATTTGTTATTATACTGTGGCCCGCAGTGCTGTTTTCAGTACCTCTTGGATGTACTGCATTATTGTTTTCTGCAGCTAATGTTGATCACCATGATTTGTGCAGCTTAGCCTCATTGGAACTATAATTAAGCCCTTCTGTTATAAACCAAATACTCTGAAAATAATTTTCTTCATTTGCTGGAGCTGCCAAGTAAGAGCTCCTGCAACCTGTAATGATTCAGGTAATCCTATTACTGCCAATACAAGTACACCATTACAGGAAGGCTGCAGAATCATAACTAGAACTTGCTGAAAAACTTTCCAGGAAGCTTTTGCTTCCCCTCCACATCAATGTTTGAATATTTTGTAGAAAAATATCCTCTGTAGAAAAAAATCCTCTGAAGCAGGAGAGATCAGTGATCAGAATAGCCAGTAGCATAGATTGAAGGATTCTCACAGGGGCATGGAAATGCAGCTTCAGATGTTTACTTCAGAAAAAAAACTCAACTATCCATGGCAAATGCTATAACCATTGGGCTACTGCCAATTCTGAGAAATTCTGTTCACCTTTCCATTCTCCAACCCCCACTGAGAGGTTTTGTTTTCATTTACCACAGAGCAAAGCATCAAGGTTTTTGTAGACAGAATTCTAGTTTCCAGTGAGATAAATGATACCTTTGTCTTGATCTCAATATAATAGGATTATAGAATAGTTTGGGTTGGAAGAGATCTTCAAAGGTCATCTAGTCCCCCAGTATACTCTTTTCCCAGGTGGTAAGGTGTCAGTAGGTGCCTAAAATACTGCAGCGGTAGGGACTTCTTTGTGAAAGCCCTGAGAAAATGCCATCAACTTTGTTATATGTTCATGAAGTATGTATCCTAGTCACGACAGGAAAGTAAACAGAGACTATGATTTTCATTTCTACACTTTAATACTATGTTCATTTTTATCTGTTAGGTCTGCTGCTGCTATAGCTGATTGGAATTCTAAACAGCGTTGGATATTTATTTTTGTAAACCTGTGCCATTCATCTTTAATATAATCATGTAATTTACTCTATTAATGCCAGCTGCTATATTTGGCACAGGTCATCTGAAGGGTTTGGAACACTATATTAATTTTTCCTTGAACCCATTAGCTAATTCTAAAAATCCATAGAAGTCAGAGCACTCCTCCTCCATAGTCAGGGAAAGTTTATTTTTGTCCTCGTTTTGGAACACTGCCTTAGTTTGACAGAAGAAAAATCCAGTAGGAGATGGACTATCATTTTTCTGGGATTTATTTGTTTGTTTATTTTCTTCAGAGCTGTCCTTGGAAATCCCAAGATTTCCAAGACTCGGGTAAGACTTTTCAGAGGGAGTTATGCACAGTGTGGAGGATTTATCTCACCTAATGTCTGCCTGAGAACACTGGATCTAATCAGCTTGTGGGAGCTTGGAAGCTAAGCATATGTCTTACATGTATGTAATCTTGCACTGTTTTTTTAATCCTCCTTTCTATGAGGCTTTATGATGCACAATTGGTATCTAGCTCTTGATCTCGGAGCTTTCTCATGACGGTCCCTTCATCTGTTCTCTTTCATACAGAATTGTGTGGTTATGGGGACATCTCTGCGTCACAGTTTTCTGGGAGTGTCCACTTAGATTTTGCAAAGCAAAACAGTCGCTGTCTTGAAGGGAATGTTTTTCAACTGGTTGGTGCCTGCTTCATCCCTCTCTTGTATATGAAATCTTCTAGGATGGGCTTTTATTGCTGAGGTAAGAGTTTGAACTGTTTCGTGTTTCTGTTTTCTGGCAAACCTGGTTTAACAACCCCCACCCCAACTCTGGTCTCACAGAAAGTGGTGGCAAGGTTTGGAATTTCATAGAGGTTTGTACAAGTTAGTGCAAGTTCACTCTGAGAACACAGCAGAAAAGAAAGAAAAAAAGGAAAAGGAGTGATGGCCTGAGCAAATATAACACATTCAGTGTAGTGTGGAGCAACCATGGTTTTTCTTCAGCTGTGATTTTATATCTTTTTCATGCCACAGATAGTAGTATAGGTCCCGTGTCCTTCCACCTCACTCCCCAACTGCTTTTTCTTAATCCATGGAATGCACTGGTTTAGCCGTTGTCCAAAACAAACTCAGCTAGAAAACTAAAATAAAACATGACATTGAAAAATGCAGATTTTAATAGAAGGCTGTACTTTAAGTACTGAAAGAGCTTTTCATTTGAGGAGGAATTTCCAGGAAGTACAGTAAGTGCAGGCCTCTGGCAAGCATATTCAGACTAGATTACCAGTCTGCTGTAAAGGCAGGGATCCTGATCTCAGAAAAGCCTATTTTCCCCTTGTAAAACTGCTATGGATTTATTAAGACCAGACAATAATATAAGACAGTTTTGACTAGCTAGATGCATTACTGAAGGTGATAACATAATTAGGCCATGGATTGTCAGAGGCTGATACAGTATCTAAAGGGAAAACTTTTTCATTTCTCAATCTTGATCACAGAGAGAATTTGAAATCCTGCTGCTTCTTCTAACAAATCAAATTTGCTATAGGCACACACCTAATGTGCAGCTAGTTAGCAGAGTGCTTCAGAAAGATCATTTGAGGTGTCCCACCAGAGTTCTCCCAAGTAACATAGTTCTAGCTCACAGCATATCTTATCAAACATTTTCTAAACTATCAGACTTCCAGAAAAGATTGAACAGAGTGTTCATGGTCCGTAAAGATGCTGTTTGATCAATAATGGTTCACTAGTTTAGGTCCAATCCCCATGGAGAATAACTTGAAATTGGATTGTAGTTCTTGGAAAATTTAGCACAACTAAGCCTACTGTAAATTAGTAATCAACTAGTGTTGTTACTTCAAATGTAAAAGTCCTTCTTAATAGAGTAAAATGCCTCTTATTTAGTTTTGGACATTAACAGCTATCTTATCTCTAGCACACTACTGTGAACAGATCCGTACCCAGAGGTTCATGCTAATTAGAAAAGAATACTCTGTGAGTATGTATATGTTTCAACTTTGTGTTTAACCTCCTCAGATTTCTCAATGTTGATGTCAAAAAGGGGCTTTCTTTTAGCCTAACCTCTTGAAACTACTTATCCTAATATTTATCCTCATGTTATATTGCACACAATCCCATTTATCTAGCAAGTAATTAATGTGAAGCTGTGTCACCAAACCCTGAGGCCTGTCACTGTTGCAAGTGATTGTTAATTTAAAGCATGTTTTATTCCTCAAATGATCTCTTTTGAAGAGAATCTCTCTGCCAGAGTTGTGTATTGCTTTGTTTTCAAAGTAATCATCTACAGTCCAGATTTCCTTTGGGAAAGGAAAAACAAACAAACAAAAATGAAAAGCCAAAATAAAGAGCTGGAGCCAAACCCTTTCTAATTAATGAGTTAAAGACTTCAGACTTTTGTATTGTTAACTGATGTTGAGGCATTAAGCTGTCTCCCATAGTTTTCTGGCCCCCCTTGTTAGCTAAAACCGCTTTTTTCTTTTTAGGATCAGTTTTTACAAGTTTCAGTTTTTCATCTTCATCAAAAATAATATGTTAAAGTTATTAAACCAGCAAGGCTGAATAGGGTTTCAGGCTTTTTTCACTTCCCAGTCCTGTATCAAAAAAAAAAAGGCAGTGAGGGTGAGATCATGCCCTTTTAAGGCTAGAGTAAATCTTTTTTCCAGTTCTAACAAATTTCAAACACATTTGAACAGAAAAGATCGTGTTTCTGTGCTGTAGGTAGATGGCTCCAGCATTATTCATCTGATTCTTTGTATATGTCTGTAGCAGCCCTTTAACAAGAGCAGTGGGACAGCTCTGAAATACAATAGCACTCAGGGCCAGCCTTTTATGTTTGTTTACTCATTTTTATGAGCCTTCCTCAGCTATTTGATTCATAGGCCTGAAGCATGCCAGAAGACAGCTCAAGAAATTCATCAGACTTTTAAAAAGAGAGGCCTACTAAGCTGACCTTGTAGTACCAGGATACTAGAGCTTTCTTATGGAACTTAAAATCTGTTAGTTTTCACTATGTGACTGATTAAAGATGGAAGATCCCAACTGCTCTGTATACTAGCTTGTCTCCAATGATTTTAGTAGGTCTCCACTAGCATAGATCTGTTCTAGGCAGCACAATTATCATGTCTTGTTCACTGTTCAGGATAAGAAAAATAAGGCAAGATTAGCAAATGAAATGGACAGGTAGTTATGGCACTTTAGGCAGAAGCAGCGGCACACGTCACTGTAGTAGAAGCGTCTATGGAATTATGGACTGTGTAAGAAGTCACACGAAAGAAATGGACAGGTGAGGAAGCAGCATTGTGGCCTCAATCACAGCTATATGGTATGGCAGACTACACTAGAGATCATTTCAAGTTTCCTATTTGCATATTCCTTGCGGGATGTGAGCTTTACTAAGATCTCATTGTGCCAGATGCTGAATATTGCACAGGTGAGCAAGATACAGGCTGTAAACAATAGCTACATGAAAAAAATTCAATTTATGATTTAAAGACTTTGCAAGTGAAGGTCACTTGGGGGCCATTGGGTATCAAGCCTAATTCTGCTGATGATAGAAAAAAGATTTAAAAGAGAGATAAATTAACCTTTGGAACACTTTCTCCGTTGCTTCATTTCTTGTATCATGATAGTCTTTCTGAAAAGCTAACCATAAATAAAAGTTATAAACCTTACTAATTGCTGTAGTCTTATTGCAGCAATTATTTATTTGCAATTTTCACACTTTCTTTATGGAGAAGATTAGAGAGGTACAATGTGACCTAGCTGAAATAAACCTAGATTTAAGCCCACTTGTATAGATGCTTAATTATAAATATATAAATCACTGTTCTCTGTGAACCTGTACCAAATAAAGACATTGATGACTCCGGTCTTTTGAGTATTTAAAATCTAAGCAAAAAGAAAGTGGTTAATGTATTTATTCTTTGGGTCAAGAGCCTTCTTTTTATATGTGTGTGTATAGTTCCATGGACAAAGGGGTTGAATCATCCAGGTGCCACTGTACTAGAAGTAATTAATATTTAGAGGGTAAGCATGGTTTCTCCTCCCATAAATTGATTTAATTTTCATATCCTGATTGCCTAGAGTGCCTCAGTTCAGCAACTTTGCAGAATTTGCTGTGATTTTGATTTATTCTACAACATCCTTCTACACTTCTAATCCTTACAGCTTTTACATATATGGAATTAGTTACAGATTTAATGCCCCATTGTTATCAGTGAAAATAATTAATTTTCTGATATCTTTAAAAGGGACCAGATCAGAGTTTTGAGTATTTTCCCACTTGCTAATTCTCGTTTAAGTATAATTTCTACTCCAAAGGTAACATAGGACTGATATGTGAAAAGTAACAAATATGCATATTGCAGGTGTAGAGAGCACCTCTACAAGAAAAGGGTAAGAGAATAGTTTTACACTAATTTACAAGGACTCATTGATATGAGCCCCTAAGATGTGCAAAATGGAATGCACATTGCATGGTATGTTCCTATTAATTTTTTTCTCTTATTTTAGGGATCTATGAATCCAGTCCTACTGTAGTATAAATTCAGGCCTAATAGTATATCTGCCAATGATGCTGACATTTTCTAGGCTACATCTGTAGGAAATATGCTTTTAAGATTTTATATATATATGTATATGTTGTGGAGTTTTACACAGCCTGGTTTCTGAGGAACTGCATGAGAGGAGATGGGATTCTTTCTTACGAAGGAGCCCTGTAGAAAGTTACAATTTTTATCCTGTTGAACAAGTCAGAGAATTAGATTTTTACTCTTTATCTGTATGGTTTTGATTGATTATTTTGTAAAAAAAAACAAAAAAACCCCACAAAATAACAAAACAAAAAAATAAATTAACTTACTGGTAGTTTCTGTCACATCTTTCATTGAAAATTATTTCTTTTTAAAGACACCAGATTGTGTGTTGAATCCATAGCTATTTCAAAGAAAATTCCAATGAAAATATATAAACATTTTTGGAAGATTTGCTGGCTTATTCTAATATTTCTTTAATATCATAGAACAGTTTGAGTTGGAAAGGACCTTAAGATCATCTACTTCCAACCCCCCTGCCATGGGCAAGGATGCCTTGCACTAGACCATGGTATCTGTAATAGCAGATGACTGCACAAACATAATAAATTTTATTTTTACAGGGTATGGGGGGGTTTTAAGTGCTCTCTTCTTGGATAAAAATAAATTTTTATCCAGGTATTTATTGTCCAGGGAAAAAGGTCATGGGTCCTCCACTTCTAGGTTTAGAGTACTATAGACAGAATAATATTTTCTAATAAATTGTGTGGATATTCGAAATAGTTCCATTTCTTCTAGCTGGCATAATGTAACTAACCTCTTGAGGGCTTGCACTGTCTTTCTGGAGGTAGACTAACAGATCTAAGTTTATATATTATTGACATATTTGAAATAGGCTATTCTGGATTCTGAAGTCATGTAGTAAAAAGAAGATAAATATTAATGTAAATATTTTGCCTTTGTGTTAGCATGCTGATAACTTGAGTGAACGATTAAGGCAGATAGCTACTTCGTCGGTGAAAAATTTTATTTAAGCAGGCATTTCTAGGTAGGCTTGGACAGAACAGTCTCGCTAAGCATTTGCCCTTATCACATTTAGTTTAATACTGAAATTGTATAAAAAATGCAAAAGTTATTCTGCCTATATTCACTTAAATATTTCAGAAAACATGATGGCTTCTGTGTTGATTTCTCTCTAAAATTTGCTTTAACAATAAGATTGTCTGTTTTATTACTTTTTCTAATAAAATGTGGGGGAGGAGGTGTTAGGGTTAAGTGAGCAGCTGTGTGGTACTTAGTTACCAGCTGGGGTTAAACCACAACGCAAGGAATAAAGCAGTGTGTCCCAACAGTTCTGATTTAATTCCTGGGTCAGATTTGTACTAGATGATAGCTAAATATGTGGTGGGACTTTGAAGGATACCAAAATAAATAGTTCCTCTTTGAATATAAGGCCATTTATTCACATAGATTTGAAGTGATTCTAAAGTACATGGATCCTTAGGTGAAACAGACTCAGAGCTGTCAGTAGTTATTGTTCAAACTTAGTATGGACTATAGGTTAATTAATAAAAAAAAAAAAATGAAAAGGCAAATTTGATGCCTGTCTTTGAAATGGGGAAAACTAGAAAATTCAGGGGATTTTTAGAGTGATCAGCTTAATGGCAACTTCGTAAAACACACCAAAAATAAAATCCGAAGAGAATATTTGTAAATTGTGTTGAAGCCACCTTGGGTTTAAGATTTTCTGTTTGTATCATGCCTTGTGGATAAGAAAGAAAAAGCAGGTGCCATATAACTTGCGATTGGTTAGTTATTTGTCTCTTGTGATGCCCTCCTAAGCAAGCCAGAGAACCAGAATCCAATGAGACTGCTACAGAATCGTGCAATATTGGCTAGATAGCTGTTTAATCTGCAGCAGTTATTGGTGGTCAACTGTCACAGTACTAATGGGGATTTCATCATGTTCTGTCCTATTTCCTCAGCCCATTTTTTTTTTTTTTAATTGAAGATTGAACAAGAGTATTGACGTAAGAAATAGGTAGATGATTTGAAATGGCCTATGGGAAGGACTATAGGAATCTCTCTACTTCTCTATACACCTGCGTACTTATATTCAGTCTGACTGACTGAGATGAGAACTTTAGAGTCATCTGGCAATGACTAAAATGGAGGAAGAAATCTGTTCCTGTTGGTCCCAATGGAGGCAAAAGCAGTGAGAAGGCTTTATTTTCGTAGAACAGTTCTGTGCATCATTACAGAGAAGTGCATATGCTTTTAAATAAAGACAGAAGGAATTCTGCTTATATGCCGAAATTTGGTACACTGTGTTTTGTACAATACAGTTTTGCACTGAACTCTATTTTTGTTTTGGTTCTTTTTTTTTTTAAATTTTGTTTTGTTTTGGAATGTAGGATATCCTCTCTTGCTAGTTCTCAGATAGCCCACAGGCAGGAAAATCAGAAGTGGTCAACATGCAAGAAAACATACTGTAATTAAAAGCTGTTCCCTCTTGTTTTCCTCCGCAGATTTCAGTAAGAAAAATATTAAGAATAAACTCTTGAGGAAAGCTGATTTTTTACAGGCTTTTTCATTTATAAAGGTACAAATATCTGAATTTGTCATTGACAGTAGTAGTAGCAGAAACAGCTATTCTTAACTGAAGAAAAACTCTTCTGATATTTTCTTCTAGAAATCAGACAAAACCAAACCCTGAACCTGCACAACTCTGAAATTTCGTAGGTTTAGAGAAGGATCAGGCTGTGAACTTCGCATCTTGTCCATATCAATATAAGAAGCCAATCTGAAAAAAAGAGAAAAATCAAAGCTCGTTTAGAAGCCATGTGTATATTAAAACTTATTTCATTCATTCTCTTTGAAGGTTGTACATTCCTCCCAGTTCCAAGAGCCCAAGATTGTTCAACTTGCTTTCTAGGAAGTTGAGTTACCGCACAGTCTTAATTTGAAAGCTTTTTAGAGATGGGTGGTTTTGTCATAAAGAGAACAGGCAAACATTTATGGATCAAATAATTTGAATGGCTGTCCTAATGAAATGATCTAAAGGACCCGAGTGAGATTTTAATGATATTCATTTGCTTGGCAATTCTTGGTGCCTGATGCTGTGGCAGTATGTGCATTTATGGCGTATGTGCATTTATGGCAGCCCAGATCCTTTTCAGTAGACTGAAGAGGAGTGGAGCTTGGCCACCATTTATTTGCCTTGATGGGGTAGTGTTCCTCATTGAGAAAATTATGAAAGATTGGAAAGAGCTGTGAAGATCAAATCCTATACACTATAGATATACATATATGTGTGTGTTTGTATTATTATTCCCTCCCAGAATAATAAAAAGCAGTCCTTTCAAATATCTGTCTGTTCATCAGAACACTGGGTAGGCATATACAGTCTTTTGGGACATACTGCTATTAGACCCATCCTATTACTCATATGTACTTACTCATTAAAGACTTTTTTTTTTTTTCCGGAAGGGCATAGCTAAAGAAGCCGTAGAAGTGCTAAGGGAGAGGTTACCAATTTACCTTTGCTGAACCCACACTTGATTAAGGTGAACTGGTTTTCCATACGCTAAATATTAGTCTACTTTATTCTGCCTGTGCTTACCTAATGCATACCAAGTACAGCAGGACTCAGCTAGGGGGAAATATAGGCTGTAAGAAAGACGGGAGATGGGGAGACAGGCTGTAAGAAAACCATTACAACCATTTTTATGAGTCTCTGCATGCAGATGAAGTAAAATTGAAGAGCTCATCCATATATGAGCAACTGAAAGCAAAACTAATATAAACATTCTTGCAGAACTAATCAATAAACTAATATGTCTTCATTAGCAAGGTGGCATTTTGTGCTATTGATATTAAAGATCTGCTTTTTGTGCTGGGTTTCACTGAAATTGTTATTGATAAATAAACCCTCATGGGCTAAAATTGTTGTCTTTTAACATATATAACCTTGATTAGATGGTTTTATTTTTCTAGTGTTGCTTCTAGCCGCATCTCCCATTAAGCCGAAAAATATTGAGTTTATCATTTCACAAGTCTCAATTATGGCTCATACTGGACACTGCATGCATGAGACAGTAGCAAAATGATGAGGCTATATTGGGCTATGTGTTTCATTTAGGGTTATTTTAAGAATGGATTTTGACTTGTGTCATTCATAGTTTAAAAATTACTTGCTCAATAACAAGTTCAGTTGTAATTAGAAAATTTAATGTCTACTGACAGGTCTTTTGTGACTGAGACCCAATTTTAGCTCTGCATACCAAGGAGCTTGCCAAGGAAAAGTAACCCGTTTTACTCAGTAAGGAAGGATAATGGGTAACTTCTGGAATTAAGTGAAAAATTGAATCCAGCTTCCTGTGTGCACTTTAGGTCCCACACTGGAATTACAGAACTAACTCTGAACTGCTTGGCTGCCGACAACAAAGATTTTATGTATGCCATGTTAAATTCTCAACAAAGTTCTCAAATCAAAAAGGTAATTTTTACATTGAGTTCAGGCTGTTTGTTTAGAAATTTAAGTGCTTTGCACTGGCTTATCTTCTCTGTAGGACCCAAGTTTTGGTAGTCATTTTTGAGAAAAAATGGTAATATACCAGTTTAAGGAAAGGGGAGAAGGAAAATAAAGTCATATGCAAACAGAATTTTAAAGTGTTAGCCTACTTTCCATCATTAAGAATTTATCCATTGAAGAGCTCATATTGGCAAAGTACTTGCTTGCCAATGAGTTCACTGTAAGAGGAATTTTATGAACACAAGAATCATGTCATTTCATTATACTATTATGTATTAATATCTATCCATATATCTATATATATAAACAATGCATAATTGGTATCTTTACCAACAAAGGTGCTTCTGTCCTTGGCATGAGACAACAAATTAAAGCAAAGATGCTTTTTCACATAGTCTATGTTTTAAAATATGTTGCCTTCTGTGGCACATAACCTATTGCATTATAAGTCATCTTTTCTGTAGAGTCATTCTGAGAACCACTTGACTGTGATGTGTAATCACAGAGCAGACATGTGAGACCACGACAAAAAGGAAATGCCACAATTTCTAACCTGTGCATATAAATGGATCATGCAAGACTTAAGACTTGTATAAATATCCACTTAAAGTCTGTATTAAAAGCTTCTTGCTTTTAATGTAGCATGCTCCCACAGATGCTTTCTGCAATGCTTCATTAATCAAGAAAAGCTTCATTAATCAAGATATAGTCTGAATTTCTGAAAACATATTGAAATTAAATACTCAATCCTGCTAGAATATATTTTCCAATGTATTTAGGCAAAACTGTGTGAAACTCTCAGTCAAGAGATCAGTTGATCTTGACACAGACTCCAAAACAGGGTGTCTTTAACTTTGAATTTTAGGTTCCTTTTGATCTGAAACAGATTTACGATCTTCGTATTTGGAATTTGTGTTTATATTTTATATAAAACTCCCGTGCATATTGATGGGAGAATATTGTCTTTGAAATTCCAGTGTGTGAATTCCACAAGAAAATAACCAGGAAGCCCTGTGATGTGATATTGTAACCAGACTCTCACTTAACTACTCATTTGTCTTTCAACTTGGTCGTGGGAACAGGAATTTACTAATCTAATTCAATGCATTTGCTGCCTTTAGAGATCAATTCTGCTCCAAGCAAGGTCAATAACAAAACTTTATTGATTTTACTGGGACCAGATCAGCCCCTTTACACAAGTGAGACTTTATACCATTATATTTTTGTGTATAATTGCTGAAATACTAACCAATATTTTTGTCCAGCACAGATCCTCACATACTTTGTAAAAGGAAATTCAGAAGGCAGATGACTTCTCCAAAGAGCTGTAACAAGTCGAACATACAGCCAGGATTTCTGGTGCACTGGACCACAGTGCATAGGAGGGCTCCCCTGTGAATGGCATGGAGAGGTAAATTACTAAACATATTACTAACATTACCAAACATGTTACTAACATTGCCAAGCATGTTACTAATGTATTTGATATTTATTGCTTTCAACTACTTAAATGATTAATTTTTCTTTCCCAGGCATAGATAAGGGCTCAAGTTTTCAGAAGAAATCAAATGCATTGTAAAAAAAAAAAAAAATCTGGGGAGGAAGTCTAATTTAGTACAAGGATTATCACCTTTTTTGCCAAGAAGTAAGAACTAGTGTATGGTATTCAATGTACTGTACATCTAGATTCTTGTTGGAGTAAACACGCTAAGAAATAAGGGACTGAGACTTTGATCATGATGTTGATGCTATGTCCTTCTCATTTTCTGGCTCTTGATCAGTTGTAGGACTTAGCAGCTAGCACAGAACTGTTCTAAATGCCATCAATTATGTCTGTAAAAGCATTAACAATAATACATCAATAACCCAGGAGCTCTTTAAGATTTAGACAGAAGGTCATAGGCAGAGATGCACCAAAGACAATGAGGAAACTGCTGGAGGATGTTAAGTAAAATTCAAATAGATCAAGGTACATAGTGAATAGCCTGAGGTAACAGCAGATACCTAAATAGTTATCTCAACATACAGAGCTGAAGAGGAAAAGAACTATCAGTAAAACATCTTTTAAGATAGACTCTCCCTGTTGGGATTACTGTGAGAAGAAAACCTGGATATGATAATTAAAAACTTTAAACAAAGAATATGCAAAATACATAGAAAAGCATGTAGTCTGGGAATTGAGTCAATAAGAACGCATACAGAATAAGATTTGTCTACAGTCTAGCAGCTTTTATCTGAACTGCCTCAGCTCTGTAAAAATGACTGTGAAATGATTCATAAGCCATTCTGAAGTTTCTGATCAGGGCCTTACAGAACCAACAACAGTGCACAACCTCTGCATTTTCAAAAAATTCTAGATTTGTTGAACTGTAAGGATTGTCACACACGTGCTCCCTGGAAGGTCTCATATGCTGTTTCAGTTTAATTGGGCTATTAAAAAAATAAATACAACAAATCTGTTCTTGACATTTATTAATATATAGTGTTCTGTGGGTTTTTTTCTGAAGCAATTTCATAGCTTCACCCTGTCTCCATTTTTTTCTTTGTTTGTACAGATAAACTGTGTTTGCAATTACCCTTTATTTTCTAGAAAGGATTTGAACCCAGTAAAGTATCTTTTTTTAAATAACATTTTAAATATAAAGGTCTTGCTGATGTGTGACTAAATATTGTGAGAACTAATCTATTAAGAACAGAGCCATTAATTTCTTTACTAGAGAATCCTACAGCTTTACCACATTGTGCTACGTTAATGTAATGATGCATCAAGCTCCCCATTAGTTACTGAGAAAGAAACCCTTAGGGCAATTGAAATGAAACAACTAATGTACAGAGTACCTGGCAAAAAATTACAAGGCTAGACAAGAAGAATGTTGCTATGCTGGAGGTCTGTAACCACAGTCTCCAGGAGCTGTGAGTCCTTGCAGCACAAGAGCAGTTGTTATGGATAGGTCTTCCATGTAGCAAAAAGATCTTCTGTCTATTTAAGAATATGAGCTGTGTTACCTAAGCAGTCTAATGTATTTGTAAATTATATTTGAAAGTGTCTGCACAAGACAGATTTATTAATTTATTTAAATATGGGATATTGAAAAAATTCCTAAAACTCTTAATTAGCCTTTGATGTGGCAAACGCTTGTTTCATAATCTGAAAATAAAGAAGTTGTCTAATAAAAAAGTTAACAGTAATAAATAAATAAATGCTATTAGTTGTATTCTGGAAAGATTTCTGTACATTTAAACTGGTCAAAGAACCTGGATATCAAAGTTTGTTGAAAAATTATTTTTCTAAAAAACTTCAATAAGTCCTCTTGTCAGCTTATATTTGCTTCTACACTTGGAATTGCCCAGCCTCTCGAAGAAATGAAGGTAAGTTTTCACAAGCCAAATTATGAATATGGAGATTAAATGTATTTTGTTTGCTGAAAATACTTTTTTTCTTTTTCTTTGACAAAGAACGAGTTATAATGAAATTAGATAATTTCTGTTTCTCGGGATTCATTCCTAAATCATCATTAGCAAATGTGTCTTCTATGGAATTTCTTTGTGAGATTTCAAATATGCCCGATTTTTAAAGAGCAAAATTTGTGCTGCTAATTACTTAAGTGAGTAATTTTATGCGTGGCAGTGGGCAGGAGACAGAAATGGGACATTTTATGAAGAAACATAACACATTTTCTACACTCAAATCACAGATAAAGACAGAAAATTAATAAAGAGTATGAAAGAAATATAAGTGTGAGGACTCTGCTAATATGCTTCCTATAGAGGTCACAACTGTGCTCAGGCCTTTTTTGTGGGTTCCCTAAGTATTTTGATATTTTCTGTGAGATGACATTGCTGGTAATTTCTCTCTTCATTAAAATATTATTTGTCTACCACATACCCTGCTAGGCACCTGTATTATCCTTCATTGCAATTAAAGTTATATTTGCAGAACTATACATGTTCTATATATACATAGTATAGGACAACTATATATGTAGAACTAGTAGGCACTTGCAAGAAAAAATACAGGTTCAGTTATTTTTGCTTGCTTTGTTGCTTCTGAAGACAGAGAAGCTGACTGACTATTGAAAATTACTCAAGAGTGGTGGATTGAAGTAGCAATTACTCTTACACTCTCAACTGGAGTCCTCTCTCATGTTCTTTTATAGTAACTGGTATGTTTCTTTCATTGATGATGTACAGCATGAAAATTCACAAGAGACACTGTATTATAATTTTGCTGAATTTTTGTCAGCATTTCTGTGCTGACACTCCAGTTATTTTAATGTTATAAATTGAATTAAAATATTAGTATCAATATAACTTTCTTACACTTTTATCAGAGGCAAGATTAATTCCTGTATTAATATGTACACCTGAAATATGCTGTCAGGTGCTGCCTAAGGTTGTTTACCTCTTAGATCCTAGGACTTGAAGTTTGCAGAACTGTTCTCTCTTAGCAGCAAGGTACAAATATTTGTCAATAGAAGTAGGACTTACCCGGTATTATAGTCTCCTTTCTGGGATCCTGAATTTAAATTTGAATTATCTCTAGAATCAGATGGAGCAAGCCTTATGAGTAACAATGTGTAGGGAGGGACAATATGCTTTTTCAAAGGGAGCTTTATGGTCAGTAATTAATTGTAGGGAGAAAAGTAGGATTCAGAATGTCTCTAAAGTCAGGTGTTTGTATCATTACTGTTATTTTCACCAGGATCTGTGATTTAAATACCAGAACAGCAACAGATGTGTTATCATCTTTAAATTTTACAGCTTTGTTTATAATTGCACCTGGTTAAAATTTTAATACTTTGAAGTACATTGTACAAGTGCATGCGGCTATTGCTAGAATTACTTAAGGGGATTTAAAGATTTCTTTTCTTAGGCATTTCCTACAGGGAGCCTTTCAAACTCCCTTTACTGACTCCAAACCATTTCAGTTTCTATTTGTATAATTTTACAAGGAATATGACAAATGTAACTGTTTTCCCAATGTTTTATGTCCCTAATGAGGAGCAGAAGGTCAAGAGCTTTGGGATGGAGGGGGAAGCCAATTACCCTTGCTACTGTGCTTTGGAATACTGTTTGCAACTTGCACTCATTTTCTACCAGCAGGATTACAGGACAGTTAATTTCCTTAGAAAGTTTATGAGGCTCAAAGGATTAGGTTTGGGGTTTTTTTTTATGGTTTTGGTTCTTGCTTGAAAGAGGCTCTGAAATATTCCCGCTTTTTGGAATATTTAGAACTTTAGGTTAGATTATTTTTAAAGTCATTAGGTGTTTTAAGCTGCAGATAGGTATCTGACAGATGTTCAAAAGACTCTTCAGTCTTGTTTCCCCAAATGGCTAAAGACTGCAGAGAGCTGTCTAGGATTTGCAGCCCTGTACAGCCTGCAAAGGGATTTCCATTCACCTTTGGACTGAAAGTGAAGGTAATGACTCCCATTTCACTTTAATTTCACTTAAAGGTAAAATACAGGCATGATTGATCAGAGAAAAGAATGCACTCATGTGCTAACCATGAGCATGCAGGTACGTTCTTTTGGTTCCACCTACCTTACCTTTTTTTTTGTGGCATGCTGTAGTACAGATTCCTGCAGAAGGTAGGCTGTGCTCACAGCTTAAGGGTAATTTAGTGTCATTGCCAGAGCACTCTAGTGAGGGGAAGAGTTGGGAATCAAATTTGCAGCTCTACTCAGACAAGGTTTCCCTTTTCTGGACTGAGTGCTCTTACCTACTCATTTGCAATATAAAATATGGTGTCCAAATTCTGCTGTACTAGGAGTTAAAACACTCAACAGATTAAGATTCTCTGTGAAATATGCAAAAGATGAAAGATACCTGGATTCTGGCCGGTTTCGGGGTACTGAGGAGTTCAGCATAATGGTAAAAGACAATGTGCTGTGCCAGAGAATGGGGATAGCCTGGAAAGATGAAGAACCTTTGAACAAAATCCATTTGTCTGTGGAAGCACTTAAACTAGTAGAGACTTGTGATACTTAAGCCCTATGAAACTATTTATCAAAGTAATTTATTTCCAGTAGTTATTTAGTAGTGATGCAGGACATTGGGTTTTGCTCTACTGTTTCATTAAATGCACACTCATATTTGTACACATTCATTGATACTAACTTTTAGGTTCCTCTTTTGATACAGTCTCAACCTGATATGCCAGATGGCCAGTAAAAACACATGGTTCCATCAGACTGGAACAGAGCTGCTTAATGCACTAGTAATTCTTCTTTTCCATTGCTAAATTCTCTTCCTTTTCCTATCACATATCATGGCCAAAGTCCATAGCTTATCTGAAAATTAATACATTTAAATGTCAAAGCCATCTGAGGATTTACACAGTCCCTCTATTCCTTGGGTTTGTGTGGTTTTGGGTTTGGTTTTGTGGTTTTATTTGTTTGGTTTTTATTTATTTTCTCTTACTTCAATGCCTCTGCACCTAACTAAAATAGTACTAGTAGTCCTAGAAATAGAAATTGGTGGTACAGCTTTTAATATGCCTGTTGTTTTACCTACTCCCCATTTGAAAGTGATTGATATGAATCTTTTCTAAATGTTATGTGTTCTGTACTCACCTAACCTTTTTCTAACTTTAACACAACCATAAATAATTTAAAACATTTGAAAACAAGCATTTAGAGAAATCACTAGGTGAATGTGGCTATTTAAGTACCATACCAACCAATTCAGGCAAATAAGAGTGGTTTCTTTCTGAAATAGCCTAGTACTTTGGGTAGAAATTTTGTCTGCAGGGGATACCATTACATGAGATGCATGCTGTGGTAGAATTAGGCAAACTTCAAACCATGATTCACTGAAAAACCAGAAAATTGTATCATCTAAGATCTAGAGTTTATATATAAAGAAAGAACTAAACTCTCTCCTAGATTAAAGACTGTGCAGGTGTCCCTCTGTGATGTGACTAAGTTTAGTCACCAATGAACTTAATTCCTATGATCCAAAACCTTTGCTGAGTTACTCTGGTGTAAATGAGCAGAAATTCCAGAGCAACTGTAGCTAAATTTCAATGTAATGGAGAGCACAAACCTCAGTAATGGTAGCACAATATGGCAGGTTTTTGACTCCAAATGCTGTTTTACTTGACCTTCAAATAGCACAGTCCCTTTCTGACAGTGTTTGCATTGCTCTTACTGAGTTACAGTGTTCTATTTTTGTATTTGATTGTAGAGATACTCCACTAAAAAGACTAGGAGATAAATGGACCAATAAATGGTAACTGATTACTTGAGTGGAGTTTAACTAGCAGAATCTAAGTAAAGCAGTGGAGTGATAGGAATTCTTTTGGTTGGGCTTTTCTTTGGTTTTACTGCCAGAGTGACAGATCAAAGTTTTCCTGTGAATGGGGGTTGAGAGAGATGGATGGATTTTGGTCCTTTGTTTGGTTTCAATTTAATTGAATGGCTTAGGAGGATGCATTGTTTATTAGGCACAGACCACCATCAAACAAACAAATAAATACAAAACTCCTGGCAATTCTTTCTGCACATTTGGGGTTTCTGTTTTTTTTAAGTTTTTTTTTTTAATATCTCTAAGAACATAAGAACATAATTCTGGCTTTGGTTTCTGCAAAGATTTGGAGTAGAGTTCCAGTGGCTTTTTTGTATAGAGGACATATTCCAGCTTTGCTTTGCAAAACATGCCTAATGTGACCCTGAGCAGGAATGCTGTAACATGAAGGCAATTCACTTTTCAACCATGGCAGTCTCCAGACTAGATACTGTCCACAGCAGCAATTATGCACCTTAGACCCAAGAAATAAAGTCTTTACTTTGCCCTCTCTTTCTCTCCCTGTTCTTTGGCAGAGGAGTCTCCTGTATTAGCACTGCATATGGTCTGTCCTCACCTTTCCTCACCTAAGGTAGGGAGGAATTTTGACTTTCCTGGTATGAAAGTATATATTTGCAGGTGTGTAATATATGCACACCCATAAATATTGCATTTTTAAAATATCTCACAAATGCAGTATTAAAATGATAACCATAATGTGTTATGTTTGCACCATTACCTGCTATTCAGTTTATATAGTTGTGTCACAAATATATCCTCAGTAATGACATCTATTCTGTGGAAGATCTGTCATGCAACACTTTACCCTGTGATAAGAATGGCCAACTACTTTTGTTCCCTTTTACAGCTGTCGCAACCTGTATGAACATACCGGAGAGCCTGGCAAATTGACTTATAAAATATGAAGGAGTTTGGTGTATTACTATCTTTCACAAACTGCACTTGGCATTACGCTTTGGTGTCTCATTCCAGTAACAGATACAGTAAAAACAACAGAGTACAACAGTTTCTAAATCTCTTGTGTGACGTGATAAAAATGGGAAATGATGCAGTATAAACCTTAATATTCTCAGTACAGTCTTTGGATTGAGATTCTTCAATAGTGTCCTCCTAGATTCAGCATTCTTCTGCTGTCATAATTAGGACTAGCTACAGACCTGCAGTTTATGAGAGTTCTCTGGGTAGAGCTGCTGACTGATGAATTCCCAGGGCTCCTGGCAGATGTTGTTGTGCAACTGGGTTTAATGCTGAATGCCTTTGTTCCTTTCCAAAATCATGAAAAGAAAAAGAGAAAAGACTGCTTCTGGAAATGGTGGTTCATATCTGCTGCCACATTTAGAACTAACGCATCCCACCAGAGTGGTATGTTCAGGCAAGGAATTAGACCTTTCCCCCTTCTCCCCCACCCTTGTAGACAAGAATCTAGCTAATTTTTCAATCAAGAGAAAGTGGAGAATCAAGATAATAGTTGGGTTGAATTGGCTTGATCTAATGTCTGTTAGAGATTCTTTATATGTATGCTTGGGTTTAGGTTCTCTGACTAACCATCTACCCTCACCCTTTGTTCTCCTAGCCCTTTGCCAGCTCTTTTCTGGTGGAAAAAATAGCACTAAATCCAAATCTTGTCTTATTTGAGTCTTTAAATTAGCCGTGCATATACTGCCTCCTATAATTCTAAGCCTACTGCTTGCATTTGCATCTGCTAGAAAATGAATATGTGAAGGTTACTAATCAGGTAAGTCCCCATATGGCTTCTCTTTATGTTCTTCCCATTAAATAGCTTTCCTGCATTTCTTAAATTAAGTGTTTCATATTTGGAGAGTAGATCAAGCTGGCCATGCTGCTGTAATTGTCATCTTAAAAGAACAGGTTTTATATGAGAGCTCATATAGCTAATAGCAAATTGCAAATGCCTGAGGAACTGCCTAGCATGTTTCGTCAGCATTTTCACTTGGCCTTCCTAGAAGTGTTATGCCAAATTTGTCTTGTCTTTTGTGGTTTTGGCTTCTAAGTATCTATCTTCTCAGCTCTCATGCTGTAAATTGCAAGTTTAGCATGTTAGCTGGAGAGGAAGTAGAACTACTTAAGTAGTAAAGGTGATCATGTGTCTTGGTTTCAGCTGGGGTAGAGTTAATTTCCTTCCTCGTAGCTGGTACAGTGCTGTGCTTCTATTGTGGGATTGCTTAAGTACAAAGAACAAGTGCCAATCATGACCACACTGGTGGGCTGGCTGCAATATTGCACTGGGACCCCCTCATTCTTATCCATAAGCTGATTTGTCAGCTGGAACTGGAGAGGACCTTCTCACCCTTTCATAGCCCCATATGGCCAGTGCGAAAGTCTAATGGAGAGTGGAGACTAACAGCAGAATATCATGGCCTGAATTAAGTCACACCACCATTGAGTGCTGCTGTACTGGACATGCTAGAACTTCAATATGAATTGGAGTCAAAGGCAGCCAAGTGGTATGCCACAACTGATATTGCCAATGCATTTTTCTCAGTTCTTTTGGCAGCAGAGTGCAGGCCACAGTTTGCTTTTACTTGGAGGGGCGTCCAGTACACTTGGAACTGACTGCCCCAGGGGTGGAAACACAGTCCTACCATCTGCCATTGACTGATCCAGACTGCACTGGGACAGGGGCAAGCTCCAGAACACCTGCAATGCATTGATGACATTATCATGTGGGACTATATAGTGCAAGAGGTTTTTGAGAAAGAGAAAAAAATAATCCAAATCCTTCTGAAAGCTGATTCTGCCATGAAACAAAGGTCAAGGGACCTGCACAGGAGATCAGTTTTGGGGAATAAAATGACAAGATGAACATCGTCAGATACCAATGGATGTGATCAACAAGATAACAGCAATGTCTCCACCAATTAATAAGAAAGAAACACAAGCTTTCTTGGGTGTTGTGGGGCTCTGGATGCGTTCTGCACATCCTGAATTGCAATTGATTGTAAGCGCTCTCTATCGCGTGACCCTGAAGAAGAATGATTTTAAATGGGGCCCTGAGAAACAACAAGCTTTTCAGCAAATTAAACGCGAGATAGTTCATGCAGTAGCCCTTGGACCTGTCTGGACCGGGCCAGATGTGAAAAATGCGCTCTAC